ATAAAAATATAATAAAATACAATACAATAACCCACTTTACAAAACATTCAGCAGTCTAATGGCAGTGGGGAAGAAACTGTTGGTATTTATAATGGAATTATGTTGAGAAGGATAGTTCTCTATAACTGTTAAAGAAGAATGGTAGTAAAAAGTTATTTATTTAAAACATAATTGCCACTGTTTTAGTTTAGGCTGTGTTGTAAAAATATTTAAATAACAAGCATCATCATTTTGCACCAACAAGCATCAACAAGTTTTCATACTCATGTTACAGGGAAGGTAACTGACTATGCAAGGCCTCCAAAATTGTTATGATGTAAGTTTTTTAGTATCAAAAATATGTTGAAAATCTTTCTGACAAGGCCTCTATGATGTGATTCCCAAGGTGTCTGATGATCTAAACATAGATCTAAACATAGTTACACCAAATATATGTGGCTGCTGTCAGTTGTCGATAGAAGGAGTCTTTAGTTAACTCTGTTTGTTTGTGTTTGCATTTATTTTCTGTTGTGCCATAATTCTCATCACTAGACTTCATGGCTTATTTTTCTAAGTGGTGAATTTAATAGATTAGCTGATCCAGATTTTAGCTGCTAATCACAATCTGTATAAAAACTGATAGCAAAGCCAACGATACATGTCTTATGAATGAACATCCAATAGTTCCAGCACTAGTCGTAAATAAAATAGCAGTTTGATTGCAAACTTGTTTCTTGATCATAAATTGCAGTTTGGTTTTTAAGCTTTTTCTGCTATGATCTTTGCAGCTGCTTTGCTTTAGTAGCTCTTTGTTTGGAAAACTAAGAAATGTGCTGATTTTTAGTACAACTAAAAAATGAAACATAAATCACTAACTTGCTTTTCTGAATGGCATTTTAATGATAGCTGCTGCTCCCATTGCTAAAGACAGCGCTGCTCTTCCTGACACAGATGCTCCAACAGATGGTAAACACAAAATTAAAATAACATTAACATGCAGCTATGCTATGAATTGGAAATAGTGAGTGGTAATGTGATTTGTGCTTTATTAAATTCCTGTCTGGTGCAGAATCAAAAACAAGTCTTACACATAGAGCATTAAGAACGTACAATCACATTAGTTTATATGTTAACTTTTTTTTTTTCTTTTTTTATTACAGCTGCTCCAGTGGAAACTGTAGTTGAGGAGCCTCCCAAGGCCCCCACTCCCCCTCCTCCTGCAGGTAACCTGTCAGTGTCTTACAGTTTGACCTGCTTTCTTCTTACTTTCTTCTAAAACTTTTTTAGTTTTTTGTACACATGTATTTCCCTCACTATAAACAAACATGCAAATTTCCTTTTGTATTATATACACTCTTTTATATTCTCTGTTGTATTTTTAGCTTTAATGGCATCTTGCTTTAACCTTCCCCTTTGTACTCTATATAAGCTACTGGAACCATAATATTCATGAAGGAGTAATCCCAAGGGATAGATAAAGTTAAGCCTAAATCTAAGTCTAAGTTAAGATTACAGCCTATGTCAGGAGATGTCCAGGTTCATGGAGCACAAAGATCACACCTCTTCATTCAGAAGCTTCAAGGCGCAAAACTCCTTGTGGCCTTCAGAATTTCTCAAGAAAAGGGATAGAGGAAAATAGTTTCCATGGCGGAACAGTCACATACGGGCCTCAAAGCAGAGGTATAAATGACGCCACCAGTTGACTCCCAGTCAGTTTGGGTGTTCTTGAGTAATAATTATCCCTTTCTGTCTTTCAATCCAACTGACTGTTGAGAGAACAACACTTTTTTTGGCACAATTGTGCCAAGTGTAGATTTTGTGTTTCACATAACATAACATAAAAATAGGAGGCAATAAGACAAAAATGGACAAACCAAAAAGAAAAATTTAGCTAAACAAGAATAAATATTGAACAAAAAAAAAGCACTACGGTTAACCAAGGTGAAGCTGGTTTGAAGTACTTAGGAACTTAAGTTTGAGATAGGAATAAAAAAAACGACTCCAAAGTTTTGAGAAAACGAATCGAATGAGAAAAAGAGCAACAAAGAAAACACTGATAAACTATTGATGTCAATGGCCTCAACTTTGTTTCTCAGTTCAATTTTTTGCTATTTAACTGATATTCTTGTAGATTAATACCTCTTGATGGGGTTTATGTAGTGAAACAGTGCACTATTATACAATGCAACTGTGTTGTGACAAAGGGTAAACAACCTCTTAAAGCTTGTGTTTTCCTCTCTCTAATCACCCTGTACCATGCAGTCCCCAGCAGTGCTCCACTAAATGTATCTGTAGAGGATGTGAATGACTCCAGCCTTACCATTAAGTGGAAAACACCAGAGGCTGTCGGTAGCTCAGGCTTGAGCGGATACACTATCGAGTACTGCAAGGATGGGAGTAAGTGTCTGTCTGTGAGTGTGTTTATGAGTGTGAGCGCAGAACTTGTGAGTCTGCACCTGTTTCCAGAGTGTCAGAAGGCAGAGAGATTTGTTGCTGGGCGCAGACCGTATAGGGTAGACGTAAGTTCACTGGCTGTCGCTGTATCCTTTGACACTGCTTTTAGAAGTGCTTGTTTGCTCAGATGACAGCCTGCCATCTAAAGTTTCACCATGCTGGTTCTTACTGTATGTTCTCGTGGATAGCTTGTTTCTACAATTGTGTTGACAGGTGATAAACCATTAAAAGTGTCTGATAACACTTTGGAAAGACATCCTTCAGACAGCTTTTTGATGCAATCGTTACATAGGAGTAAAAGTGAAAATGAATCCACTCTAACACAAACATTGTGTTGCTCTGCAGCAACAGACTGGATTGTAGCTAACGAGGAGTTGACCTTGGCTGACCGCTACTGTATCAGGGACCTGACAGCTGGGGACCTGCTGCATGTACGCGTCGTGGCCGTAAACCCAGGAGGCCGCAGTGAACCTGGGGTGCTTCCAGAGCCTGTTCCAATCCGTGAGATCCCTGGTGAGTCATTGTCAGTGTTAGACTACTCACATTCTTTGTGCTTAACTGTGCAGTTTTACTTAATTTCAGGCAATAAGAGAAAAAAATTGCTAGAATAATTTTTGATGTTTTTATTTACCTGGACATGAATGCACCCTTAGAAAGAATCCCATAGAAAACTCTATAAATGCAACTCTATGAAGAATATTTACTGGTGTTAAACCAATCCATATTTTTTTTTTCAAGTTTTCGCTCCTGCTCAGACCTTATGACCTATCCTTAAAATACCCCTCCTGCAAACAGAGAGGTGGAGACGGTATTAAATGTGGACCTCTGATGGGCTGCACAGATGGAAAGACGTAAATCCTACAAGTGCTGACAAGTGCTTTCGTTGGTCGTATATCAATCTCTCACTTGCATGTGTCCAGAAGTGACGGCATGTTTTATAATGAAGAAAAAGGTTAACCACTTAGATGTTCTTTCTAGAAGCATTTATTTATGTCTTTTAATGAACAGCAGCAGCTATGACGGTCATGTTCTGAAGACTTGGCCTAGTCAGCAAAGAGGGTCAAAATCAATTTGTTTCTTTAAGGTGTGTGAGAATGTGTCAAGTGCAAAGGAAATTATATAAAAGTAATAATTGCTGAGATGTAAACATTGGGCCTATTGCAAATCTAAGGTGAAAGCTCAGACATGCCCGTCTGAGCTGGGTACTGCAGAGGGAGATTCCAGCTTTAAGGAGGTCAGCACTATCAGTACTAAGGATGATATATTGCTAGTCTCAGTCGGGCATAAGGAAACATTTGGGTAATGAGCCTCTTGGCTGCCATGCACTTTACTGACACGGACCTCGTCAGTGCCCACCTTCAGCCAATTTATTTATGTACTGCTTCTCTGGCTGTCCTTCATTCTAACTCAGGTATGGCCTAATGACATCATTCATGCGAAATAAATAGGTTCACCTTATGCAGCAGATTGAGTCCCTAATTTTCCATTTATGTTACCCTTCAAAAAATATTACCTTTTAAAATTTTAGATATTTTAAAATATAATCTTTCAAAAGAAAGGCTTTAAAAAAGATCCTGAATAAGACCACAGTTTAGTGTATTTTCTATGTATCTTATCTTAAAAGGTGATGTGATGACTTTACGTGCTTTGTAATAATACTGTGACTCCTTATTGTGCTTTATCTTTACTTTTGTTTTGAGAAGTTGTTAATAGCAACGGTAACCTTTGGAATCTGTAGTCCTCTAATGCATGTTTAAGCTTTTCTTATATATAGCCAAGAATGTGGAGAGTGTAGGGATGTAAAAAAGTATTTGCATCCTCACATATTTAATTTCTTTGTTTTCTCTCTGTAAAAACAGCAGTTATAATCAACTAATTCTTAATGTTAAGATATAATGTCACCCAACATAATGTCACCAAAACCAAATGAACATGTCTATTTATCAACTTTTCTTCCCACAATTTTAAACATTTCTTTAAATGTACGTCAATATCAAATGGAAACATGCCTAATTTTAAAACGTGCTTACTTAGTAACAGATGGGACTCTGCACCAGAAGTGCTAATCTTTGCCGAGGTCTTTCCATTTCAAAGTGAGGTATGGTGCTAAGGATCAGGATGTATATTGTATTTCAGAAATCTCTAAGCTGTTTGCGGTGCTTAAGGGCCAGTATTTTAAAAGTTATAAAAGTATATAAATTTCACTCAATATGTTACCTTCTGTTCATTTGTCATAAAAAGAATCATCATTGTTACTAATAAAAGCAGTGAACAGACTGAAGACAAACTTGAGAGGGTATTCACATACGTGTTGACATACCCAACTTATCCACTTTCAAAGACAGAGCTTGCTGAATATATTCTCTGCATGTGGTTTAAACCATAGGGAACACATTGAACCTTTGAGGAACACATACGACCATCCAAACAGAAGTGCTGGCCAGCGGAGGGAAGCGAAACATGAGCCTAATTAATGGATTCTGGGTGGCTTGTTGGTGTTAAATTCAGCTCTGTGTCAGTCACATATCGGCATGCACATGCCGATGAAAGCAGACTTGTCCAATATGCGCAGAAAGCTTCCCTCAACATAGATACTTTATCTCCAGACAAAGACTGATTATGTATTATTTGTAGTCCAACTTGCCACCTTGTAGATTCTGCAATTCCAGTGACTCTTCTGGGCATTGCTGGCAGGTTTGGTAATTAGAGGGGCTCAGTGTTTGAGCTGCATCTGGGGCCAACCTGAGCTTCCTGGGAAACGATGGCTTCCGTTGCCGGATCCCAGCATTATATAGTAACAGTTGTAAGGATAAAGGGTGATGATGCATGTCGGATCAGAGAGTGAGAGAGAGCGAACATGGAGCACAGTGAGGATGATGAACATGAGACTGATGGGGTGTGAGAAAGAAGGGAATTTTAAGTTGATGAGAAGAAATGGCACAGGGTTTTATATGTCGTCTAAGCTCATCTGACTTTTGAGATATGTGCTGCTTATGCAGGATTATGTGAGACATACTTTTCTCAACCCTATCCTGAACAGCGTAGTTAGCATACTGGCTTCTTAGATGTTACAGAAGTCCCAAGCATGATGTCATTTCATCCATATATCAGTATGCAAGGCAAACTGCAGCAGCACATAAAACTGACTCTAGCTGTGATATTAGAGCTCAATGGTTAGTTAAAAATTATGACATCTTCATTTCTTTGCACAAGGTGTAGAAGAGGCGTGTGGGGATTCAGCCAAGTTTTTTCTTTCACTTAAGTTATTTAAGGCACTGCTGGATGAAGGGTCTTCCTTTTTTACCTCTCCTTGCCCAGATACAGTTTTTTTTTTTTTTTTTTATAAACTTCTCTCAGAGCACATAAAACTAGCCATCCATAATTATTTGTAGTCATGTTAAAATGTGCAAGGAATTAAAAAAATATGTATGTTCATTTGAGGAAAACTGTTTCTCACAGAATTAAATTCCACTAATATATTTCAACAGAAGCACATTTAGTTATGCCTGTGTGAGCTTTCCCTCATTTTGTCTGATCCATTTAGCTCTGTGTCTTGTTGATTTGCCATCCTGAGGCAATGCAACTGCACACGACTAAAGAGGAAACACAAAACACTTTCCAGGATTAAGTCTAGAAAACTGATACATTTTGTGCAGTATTTAGGACTGTAAACTAAAGGGGAGACCATTGAAAAATAAAATGTATATTTTATATTGTTTCATTTTAGAAAAACCCAAGATCCGCTTGCCTCGCTCTCTCCGATCCTGCTACGTCAGGAAGGTTGGAGAGCAGATCAACATTGTCATTCCGTTCATCGTAAGTTGCCAAGTGCACATTTACATTTTAAATCTTTAAACCTTAAAAGACAATGCTGTACATTGGGAATCTTCTGCTTTTTTAAATCTCTTAGGGGAAGCCCAAACCTGCAGTGTCCTGGCTAAAGGATGGCCAACCTTTGGATAAAAAGAGAGTCAACATCAGGAACAGTGACTTCGACAGCATCATGTTCATCCGCAGTGCTGAGAGGGATGACTCTGGCATTTACGAGATGACATTAAAAGTGGAGAGCTTTGAAGACAAAGCAACCATCACCCTTCAGATTGTTGGTCAGTCTCGTTTACCATGGTTCATGGTTACAACCCCACTGAGCGCACACAAATGTAAACACAAGAAGCATGTTTATGGAACTTTCTGAGTCACTCTAGACAGCAGTGAAAATGCTCTCGTTTGACTGATTGACACACAGCTGTTCCTGTTGAAAGCAGAGCATAAACAGCGACCTTTGACCCTTTGTTTTTTAAACCTTTACCCTGCCACATAAACAGCAACTCAGCTATGATCTGAATCTTTTATGTATCACTGACCCTCGTTTACGTCCTCAGACCTCCCGGGTCCACCTACGAGTGTGAAGCTGGTAGATGCGTGGGGTTTTAACGCTGCACTGGAATGGACTCCACCAAAGGACAACGGAAACTCTGATATCACTGGATACACTGTTCAGAAGGCCGACAGGAAAACTGGGGTATGATTTGTGTGAAGAGCTGCAAAAGCAATACAGCAAAGGATGCTGGAAGTGGGCGTTATTTATTTGCACACCTGTAAACAGTCTGCTGTGTGTCCATCTACAGGAATGGTTCACAGTGCTGGAGCATTACCATAGATTAACAGCCACCGTGTCAGACCTAATCATGGGTAACTCATACTTGTTTAGGGTGTTTTCTGAAAACCAAGTTGGAAGGAGTGAGAATAGTGCTGTTACCAAGAATGCAGCAACAATCCAAAAAACAGGTAACTCTATGGCTGCATGCAGTCCTCTCATTCAAAATGTGTTTATATGAGTATAGCTTTACAGTCAGCACTTGCGGCTTCGTTAATGAGCTGCAGTTAGTCATTTAGTGTCTGAAGTGAATACTTGAGGAGCGAAAATGACCTTGGCACTGCTTTAAGATCTAAGTAGGTGCCTGTCTTGGCCAGTGTTCAACTATAATTGAGATTCATTTTTAGAGCCATAAAAATATTAATACCTCTGACAGAGCTGTGTGTGTGTGTGTGTGTGTGCAGGAACAAGTTTATGCATAAACCTGTCAAGAAAAATGGTTGTGCAGTTTATCTATATAAGACTGTATTAATTATGTGGGAGTTGTCCATTGATGCTGTGCACTAAACCATTATATGAACATTGCCTAGATAGTTATTCCGTTATATTACAACTAATGTTGCATTAATGCAAAAAGTGTGGACTCTAAATTTTGCCTGAGGCTTCTAAAATGGACCTATTTTTTTCTTTTTTCCTTTTTGCTGTGAAAAATAGATAATAAAGAAAAACTTACAGTAGCCATTGCCATAGGATCAACTACATATATTTTAAAGTTATTGTGGAGGATTTGCGCGATTTTTTTAAAACACTCACCCTCTCCACTTTAAAGAGAAATGCCCATGGACAACCCTGTAACCGCTCCCAAGAGGGAACCCCCATTAAATGCGTGCGAAAGTATGCACAAACCCATTTCTCCTTGTACACGCTCTGTTTAAAAGTTGCTGTTCTCATCACTCAAACAAGCTTACTGAGTCCGAACGTCCACCCTAACCCTGAATCCCTCAATCACTATATAGAGTGGGGACTATATAGTGGACTTTATAGCTAACCCAGTTAACTTACTGTTCAGACAGATGATCACTTCTTTTTGCTCCTCATTTGACACGTAACTACTCCTCCAGCGCACTGTGCCTCCACCATCTTTGCTATTAGTCGCTGCTGTCAGGTGGCAACAGCGGGCCCCTGTGACACCAAATCCCATAATGCTTTGCAACGAAAGCATGCAAAGCATTCCAGGATATAGCTTCAGTGAACTTCAGTGACTGTCCGAAACCGTAGCTCACCACGCCTGAATGCGCAGAATAAGATAGCTAATGAGACAAGCACGTAGAATGGCCTTACGTAAACATATCACCAGAATGATTTACAATTAGGAGGACCACCTATTTAGATGGCCCACCTGGAAATAACAGATCGTCATCTATACCTTTAAGCCAAATTGTGCTTGTTGCCTACAACATTAGCTCAAAGTTGTTGTTTTATCTCTGATATATTGATAGTTGAAATTGACATAATGACCAACAAATAACATATAAGGCGTTGTGGGAGTGTTTGCCTAGTGGGTTAGAGCAGTGCACATGTGCTTTGAGAATGTTGCAAGTTACTCCACTCTGGGTTCTTAAGCAAAACCCTTAACCGCACACTGCTCCCCAGGCGCCACATAATAGCAGACCACTGCTCCCCAAGGGGGATGGGTTAAATGCAGAGTTTGAATTTCCCCATTGTGGGACAATAAAGGGAGTTACATTAAAGTCACAGGTTGCCCAAGTAGTTCTGATAATTATTTTGTTATTTGACAAATTCAAACCCTTTTTAGAGTGAACACTTGTATAAATACTCTATACTCTACGTATTACAAACCATACAATGATGAAATAACAGTTGTGTGTTCCATATAGGTATTGTCTATAAACCTCCTGAGTATCAGGAACATGACTTCAGCGAGGCGCCAAAGTTCACTACACCTCTCATCAACCGTGCAGCCACTGTGGGATATACTACCAAGCTGCTGTGTTCTGTTCGAGGATGCCCCCGAGTAAGAAAATAAGTTGATATTATGAATAGCGGTTCATAGATATTAGCTCTCCTTCGTTCAGAGACTTGGCAAATATATGTTCTTGAAATACATCTTCAGTCTTTAAAGATTCAGTCGAGAAATACATGGTAAAAGTACTTTTCTTATATTTCCTTCAAGTAATTGTTATAGGGAACATATTACATTAAACTGTTAAATATTAAATTATGATCTGATAACAACATATGGCTGATTATTGAATATATGTGAAAAAATGCATTTAATAAACAAAAAAAGAAAAAAAAAAGCTATGAACACACATCTAGAGTTAATTTGCTGAGTTCTGAGGTGCTTTATGTTTGATATTCTCTTTGCACACCCTCAGTTTGCTTGCTTTAAATAATCTGTAAAGACTGTATGCGTTTGAAAATGTTCATACCAATCTTTGAAAAAGAAATGATTTAGCATCTTAATTATTTCAGGAATCAGTAGCAGCTGGAGAAAAATGCCTTACTTGGACTCAATCTGCTGTCATTCCTTCATTATAATGAGTTGAACTTTAGTGCATTTGGAGTGCAAAAGGTAGTGGCAATATGACTTTAAATGCTTAAACTGTCAAGTTGTTAACCAGAAAATGGTACGCTGGTAGATTTCATGCATGCAGGTAATAGGAAGCTGCCTCCTAGAAGTACTGTAGTTTCATCTGCTCCCCTTAAACACCTGCTGTTCCAAAAATATATTCACACAGAAACATGTATTTGTCAGAATCTATTGTTATTTCAATAAAAGTTTTGGCTGAATTTATTTAATATTGCTTAGGTCATAAATCAGAGAGTCATCTGGTCTAACCTAGGGAACCAATCTATTTCAGTGATCTAGTCTTGTGCCAGCTGTTTGTAGTGAGCAGGGAGCAGTCTTTCACATGTGACCATTTTATTACATACGGTACATCTTTGGGAGCTTAAAATCTTTATTCTATTTTAGTTTTGTGCAGACATTATTTGCCTTCTGTTGTATACTCTCTCTCTTTTTTTTTAACCCAGATGTAATCCTTTACCATCCATAAATCTTTGCTTAGTACTAAATGTGTTGTTTTTATTTAGCCTTTGCTTAAATAACTACTCTTTACTGTGTGGAACGGATCACAGGGCCAGCTGAATCTACCGCAGATAAATGTTTCCAATGTTCTGATAAGCTATGCTCTCTGATAGAAAGTTACACATATGGAGGAAGAGGATACATTAGGAGCCTAAAGAGGAACACAAAAAGGAGCCCGTGATAAGAAGTTAAGCTTGATGTACTTTTATGTCTACATGGACAGGCTGCTTATTCAGAGGAGGTCCTATTTTTATCATCCATTCAGGCTGCAGTGTGCTTCCCTTATCAGTGTTAGTGACAGTTACTGTTCATTTTATCTCATGGAGGTAGAAGAGAAAGGTGTCTTTGGGAAACCAGTTGTCTTTGTTATCTAAATAAGATTAAGTGTACAGACATGCTTGTACTGAGGCACAAACACTGTTTGCATCCGTGTTTCTGTTATTTCTAGACAGTAAAAGATTTAGATCCACAGTAAGAGTAAAGTGGTCTGAGTAAAATGTAAACAGTTTACTGGAGGTATATTTTTAACAAAAACTCTTCGTTGTCAATATAAAGTTTTCACACTTCATCACATTGCAACATCAAACTACCAATTGTTAGGATTTTATGTAATAGACCAACACAAAGCACTGCATCATTTACAAAATACATTTTGGAGAAATTATATATATGCATTTTCCTTTTTACTCTTATCCCCAAAAATACAATCATGTGCAACAATTTTCTGCAAAAGTCATCTAATAAGTAAAGCTTGATAAAACAATACACTATGTTTTGGTTAGCTGCAGTTGGAACACTGTTACATATATTTGTGGCATATTTGCATAAAAAATTTAATTTGTGAGCCAAATTATAGGGGAACAATCAGGAAAGCTAGCTGTATTTTGAATATTTCTCTATTTTGTAGAAGTTGAAAAATTTTTTGTAAACATTGAGCTAAAAAGGAAATGTATTAACAGTTATTATAAACTTCATGCCTGTACATTGAGAAATAGTCTGTCAAAGTGTCAGTCATAAGTATGAGGGCTTGTCAAGCAAGCCTCATGGGGAGCAAAGCCTTGCCCTAAATTATGTCATAAAACTAAAAAAAAAAGACCACTAATGTAATAGAACTAAAATATATATGTGAAAAAATTATAACTATATTAACTTTTCACATTTAATTTGCAGCCCCAGATTGAGTGGTTGAAAAATCAGATGCTTATTGGAGATGACCCCAAGTTTCGTAAGATTTCTAATCAAGGCATCTGCTCATTGGAGATCCGCAAGCCCTGCAGCTTTGATGGTGGTGTGTACACCTGCAGAGCCAAGAACGCTCAGGGTGAAGCTGTGGTCTCCTGCAAACTGGAGGTCAAACGTATGTACTTGTATTTTATAAAAAAAAAAAAGTAATGCATTCAATTGTAAAGAATGATTGACTCCAAGTATCAATCTCTCCAAACAGAGGTCATTCTTCCAGACGCTGCCAAAGAAAAAGGAAAATAAGAAAAACAAAGGTAAGGATAGCAGGGAAGCAGAAAATCATAAGTAAACACCACTCGTTAAATATTACTTTTTTTAACTACATTCTTCAATTTAAATATTACATTATAAAAAAATACAGCTAAAGTAAATACAATACAAACATGGTTAAAATGTCTTAAAAGTTCATTGACAATGAGTGAAAACAATATAAATAATACATGGATAACTTTTGTGATGATATTAAAAACTAAGGGACTACTGTTTTTTTTTAAAAAGAATATTGACTTAATTCACATTTTAAGACCAGACATGGGTAGAAGAATTTCCTTTTGGTAAAACATACTCTTTAAAAATAGTTTTTCATAAAGCAAATACTAGACGGGATATATAGATGTTATTCAGCTTAGATAAGGTCTCATTTTCCCATCCAGAATTTCTCGTAAAGAAAAATTTGCATCGGTTTTTGTATTGGTTTTACATTGAAAACTATAAATGAGACAAAATATTTCAGTAATGCATGGACAGAATCTGAAGACCAATAATTCTGCTGACCAGGCGTTGTTAAGCTTGCCTTAATTTTTCCTTTTCAATCATTCCTGTTAATCTTTTGTCCCTGTAAATGTCTTTAACCCTTGATCCGGATTTATGCTACGTTCAGATTGCATGCGTTAGAGGCAGCAGAAGCAGCTAGTTTATATGCAAAGGCAATGGTTAATGCGCATCAAGGGGCAGCAAAAGGTCCCGCAGCACGTTTTGAGCACCAGGGAACTGAAGCAGTGCGCATGAGCTTCTGAGCATCTGATGCGCGGGATGTGCTGCAAAAGTAGTAGAAGCTGGAGTTGGAAAAATTTAGCTTTTGCCATTCGACTCACCACATCAACCAGTTCAGAGAAGCTGATCTGGAAGCTGGGGGAGAGACAGACACAGCACTGCTGATGCAGATCGCTATGATCACACCTCTGAAACAGTTTATTAACACCTAAATTACCTTAAAATGTCAAATCCTGCCGGCAAAATATGTTCGATTTCATTATTATGGTGCCTGTAGTTTGGATTATGTATTTGGATTATTATGAAAAACGCCTTCCAGCCGCCACGAACAGTGGTGAAAAAACCCAGAAGAGGCTACCGGGCCAGAGGCTGCTGTTGAACTGGATTCCAAGTGGCAGAGCACCACTGGTGTATGGGGGTCTGAGCGGCTCCGACAGCGAATTAATACTTGAAGGCAGAATCACAATCTTGATGAACTGACTGCACAGATTAAGTTTTCAGGTAGACTTTCTCACTTAAAAACAAATTAAAACAGCTTTTTACCTACTTATAAAAATAAGATAAAGTTAGACCACTCATTGGAGAGAAGACAGTAAGTCACTGATAGACAGATAGGCTAATTTGACTGCAAAAGGTGTACCGCTATTCTTACTGCACTTTATTAATACTTTTATGTTTAACATACTGTTTTAGATAAAACTTTATTTCACTTCAAATCTTGTCTGACCAATTTGCTAAAGATAACTTGGCCTCAGCAGCATGACTTGTGGGGTAAAATGGAGAAAACCTGAAACAAATATTTAGAAAGGAAAGGAAAATGTGAAATAAAAATAAGCCATGTGCAGGAAAGTAATGTAACTTTACTTACATATTTTCTTATCTCTTCATACCATTCACATGTGTATCGGACTTAGGAAAACACTTGCAGCCACAAATGTGGCTGCAGGATAAAAACTGTTTTTGAGCTCTGCCTGTTCCTGAGCAGCCTGCCTGAAGGTTAGAACAGTCTGTGTGTAAGATGAATCCCTGCATCCTGTGTAAAATGATGCATTCACTCAAAAGCGTTCTTGGCATCAGAGCATCTGATTTACATGCTAAGTCTATAAGGGACAGAGTCGATAAGCATCAAGAGGCCCTGCATCACTCCTGAGCTTTAGGGGAGAGGCATTGTGGTGTCCGATGCTGGAGTTAAAAAATCTGAACTTTAGCAGCTTAACTAAGACCGTCAAACAATCAGAAAAACTGAACCAGGAGTTTTCTGGGTGAGTGATAGTACATGTAAACTCCACAGATTTTAAAAGCCAGACATCTGTGATCATTATTAAATCACTAAAACATATACTTACTGAGCAAAACTACAGCAAAACAGTTAATAAATGCCCACATTAACTAAAAATGTTAAAACCTGCCAACCAAACTATTCTAATTTATTTTCGGGCACATGCTATTTTTACCGCAAGTTTAAAAAAGGCTTTATATTCACCTTTACCTGCTACGAAAGGCAAGAGGATGTCCCTGAGCGACTGGGCGACTATCAGAACAGATTATTAAGTAGGATCATAATCTTGATGAAATGATTGAATATATAACGTTTTAAGGTGTTTTCTCTCAAATATTTGTTAAAACTATATTTTTACAGCAGATCAAATCAAATAAAGCTGAGCCACTCTGTTGAAAGCAACAAAAGAACAGAGCAGCTCAATAGCTGGAGTGGCGCGTCGAACATCCTGAGCATTTTACCTCAAAATGCATCAGTGTCCAAGTTATGGCAATGCATGCCTTTTGGACATTTAAAACTGTGTGAACACAGCCCTTCTCTGTGGTGGAGGGAAAGCTGTTCCCTAAACTTCTCAGTTCAGCCTTAACAATCCCCTGCAGAGCCATTCTCTTTGCAGTAGGGAGTGCACACAATGACACATGTGCAAAGAACACTCTCCACCAAATAGTGATAAAGATATTTTAGGGCAGAGCTCTGGAGAACAGCTCTCCACAGCTCCCTAAGGAAGTAGAGACACTGATGGGCGTTCCTGACCAGACGGAAGTCTTGGCACTCCAAGTGAGTTCACAGGATAAATGCACACCCAGGCAGCCTGTTTGCAGCTAGAGACCATATCCACACCTGCTTGTCAGAGGTACATGCAATGAAGAGGATTGTTTTCCATTCTGAGTCTTTCTGTTTTCCATTCTTAGCCTTCTTCACACAAATGCAGAGGTTATTCTCTACACCACTGCCAATTGTGTTAGACATCTACCCTGTATATGGACTAGTTGTTTGTGATGTATCCCAAAAGTGCTGTGTCATTTCCAAAACTCACTATGTGACAGCTAATATGCATGCAGAGTAAAGGAGATGTTGCTATGGATACTGACAGTTCGAGATCTAATGGTCAGAAAGTGATGTTAAGGCTATAGTTTGGTATTCATTCAGGTCTTTCACTGTGGAGCACTTGGGGACAGGGACAATAATGGAGGACTTTAATCAGGTAGGGACAGATGTCAGTGACAGAGAGGGCTCATACACCAACGTTCCATATTGCCTTAGTACCTGCACTGGGATGTGGTTAAAAAGATGGTCCAGTCACCAAGAGGTTAGTTTGGTCCTGATGGGGATGTTAAAATCCTCAAAGTGGGCATACAGTAGAACCTGTTGAGTCCATCTGGCAATGAGGGGTCCTTGCAGCTCTGATGTAATAGCCCATGATGCATTTGATGGCCATCCACATGTGCTGCAGGTCATTGGTTGTGTCACTTGATCACCAAAGATCCACCAATTCCTGGGCATATATGAATTTGGCCCTCGCAATGCCTACAGTCTTTTCCTCCCTTTTCAGACGGCTGGTTGTCCCTGTCCTGAACACAGCATCCCTAGCTTTGAGCAGAGCTTTCAACTCACCATTCAGCCAGGGTTTCTGGTTTGGATAATAGGTTAGAGATTAAACAAAGAACAGAGGGGTTGTAATCTATGTGGCCCCCTCTCTGAAGACAATTTGTGCTAATCTGTGCAATGTAAACAGCCCTGGTGGACAATGGCTGCATTAGCTCCAGGTAGGATGTAAACAATGATAAGAAATAGAGATAAATTGGTTAAAAGTTTTTTAAAGCAAATGAATATAGCAGTTGTTTTGATATCAGTCTATTCAATCCGCGACAAGTGTTGACAATAGCTTCTGGCTGATTATTGGAAAAGATATAGATTTTTCTTCCACCATTTACATAAGAAAAATGACACAATGATAGCACATGTTACACATGTCTCAAATAAAACAAAAAAGAAACATTAGCAAATTAAACAAAATGTGGACAATAGCTAGCAAATGGAGGGGAGTGGCTATGCATTATCTTCACAAGATTTCAAGGCATGGTTGCTGAAAGCACTTTTGAATCAGCTAACACATGCACGTATTGGCCGATTAGGGATACAAGAAAAAAAGCATAATTATTGCTCAGAAATATTGACCGGTTGATGTGTTGCTCATTCTCTAGTGAAGACCGCTTTATTCAATTCCATTGGCAACATAGCATTCTGCAGTCATATATTTGATTACCTCTGACCAGTAGCTTTATACCAGTCCATAGTTTGTACAACAACCTTTATTCATGCACATACAAAGTCCCTCTCCCAGTTTTTCTCCTGAGTTGTGATCACACTCGGAATAACTTGGAATAACTGATGACTGTTGATCTACGAGGCTGAATCTGGCGTGTTAATGTTAAGTCAAGTTTCTGTTAGGCAAACAGCAGCAAAGTTTGTCATATCTGTGCAAACACGGCTCCAGAAATAACATGTCTTTGGTATCCAGAGACCAGACTTGTGCAAAAAAAGAAGTTCATAGGCTTCCTAGCCTTAAGGTGTTAAGGCCAAAACATCTGCCAGCTTCCCCCTTTTCTAATTTTGGGTACGTTTCCTCTTGAGTGTTTCTCCCTGCACTTCGCTACGGTAGTATGATGTCCTTTAGGAGCTGCTTTCTACCCAGTGTGGATTTCATTCAAGGGGATATATTAAACACCAAACTGTCCCTGATTGAAATCAGTTCGATTGAGTTATATTAGGCCACAAACTTAGCACTTAACAAGGAATTAAAATGAGGCTTGATTCAGGTGCTGCAACAAACAAATAATATTTAGAAGTGAACAAATTATTGATCACTTGGGAATCCCAAAGGGTAAAGAAGTAGCTAATAACTGAAATAAGAGAAGTCATTAGTGCTGACCAAAGAACTCCCCTCAATTAAATTTGAGCAAAATCAGTCCACACTAAGGCACAAATAACAGCCAGATGTATTTGAAAAAATAAAAATTACATTGTCTCGGCTGGACTGGCGACCTGTCCAGGGTCCACCCCACCTTTTGCCAACAGACTATCAGAGATAGGATTGGCCCACCGCGACCCTGACAGAATAAGCGGAGAAAATGGATGGATGAAAATGTACATTGCAATGATATATTTTGCTCCATTTAATGTACAGTTACTTTTACAGGACCCAGTGTATTATGGCATAACCACTGATTTCAAAGTAGTAACAATAATGCACACTAAATGCAGATTATAACACACTCACATCTGAAAAATGTAAAGTCCTTCAGACTGTAAGACAAAAACATCAACCGAGAATAAAAAGAGATTCAAAATTATAAAATAATTTTCATAGAGATGCCCCATGATTATAAAGCAATGTGATTCAGTGGACTAAATTAATGAGTCTGGAATTTTTTCAGTCAAATAGAATCATTGGTTGTGTTTGGGTGTTTTCCCACCTTTATTTGCAGCATTTCTCCTACAATTACGTTGACAAAAGAGAAATCTGATGCCAAATAATATCAGTTCCTAAAATGCGGAAGTCCTTTTAAAAAGAATGCACAGAAAACAGTGATACATGGAAGGCACCCTTAGGAGAGACAAAGGTTTAGACATGGACCATCTTTAAGTGGGAAGGTAGCAGTGATGTCAGATCAGAGATTCACAGCTTCTAAAAATGACTCCAGATGATTTGACAAACAGCCAAACTCATCACATTACCATGAGTTGAAGGCCAAGAAGACTGCTGTGAGGAGAAGGAAGGCTATGAGGGCAGAAACAGAACCAGATAATCCTTGGGGGAAAGTGCATCCTTGATCCAGCAGGAGTTTAAGGCCTTAATCCATGCACATTTTAACAGAACATTCTTGTTTAAAGTGGATTTTAACACCCCATTACTCCATTTAAATCTTGTCTTTAATCATCCATCCCACAGCAATTTAAAGGAACAGCAGATGTCTTGGTCTTAAGGTGAGTTTAAAGCATCTATTTTCTACTTTGCTTGAAATTAACAATTGCATTTTGGAATCTGTATCTTGTAAGAGCAAGACAGCTCTTATGTGCATGTGTTTTAATTTAATATCCTCTGAATTCACAGAACTAAAATGTGAAAATTATTATCATTTGTTGAATTCCTCTCTATATTTGTCTAATCTTTCTTTCAGTGTTAAGAGTATGTGTGGAGATATAGCGGCTGGCTGGGAAGAAGCATGTAGGCAATGAAGATGGGGACAAGGCAACAAGCCAACATCCAAATATTTATTTACAAACTAACGTCTTGACAACTGCTCTACTTATAAAATGCAATACAGGCTCATTTTCAGTGTTAGTTTAGATGGAGATGTGTATGTAAAACTATATTTTACACTTTTACCTGCTTGTGTTTAGATTTAGCCTACAATAAAAAAAATACATTTATTAAATGGGCTAAAGCAAAACCTCATCATGTTAATTAAAAGTGTATTTTATTACAAGTCATGTGGGTTATGTTGTGTCCTTTAAGGTATGTTAAACTGAGCAAATTAGAATTTTGGTGGACATTAATATCTCCTTAAATTGGAATATCATTGAAAAGTTTATTTATATTAGTAATTTAATAATAAAAAAGGATATTCATTTCATACAGGATTACTTATTTTGATATTTATTGTGTGTTTACTTGGTTTATAGATACTGAAAAACCAACTATATAGTTTTCATCAAATTTGATTATATAAGACCACATCATTATTTTTATTTTCTATAAAGGACTGATTTTTTTTAGCCATGTCATGGGCTACACAATAATGGAAAAGACTGCTGACCTGACAGTCATCTAGAAGTCACTGTCACTCTTTATGACATATACTCATAAGGAGGATAAGCCTGGAAGATGAACATGTAGTAGATACAGAAAAGGGCAGAGGGCTTTTCCTCCAGGTAAAGGGCAAATCGCGTTTCCTGAGTGGTCATTTGGTGACAGGCTTAACGGAATGACTGTGTGCTTGCTTTATAAGTCTGTTTCCATACTAGTAATGATTTGGGGAAAATTGTAATTTACTTGAATTGGTCCAGTGTGTTTTATCAGGTCTATAGTGAACAAAACAACCCATCAGATCATTTAAGAGTACCTCATGATTCCCACAAGCTTTATATAGATTTTTATTTAATTTTCCAGATTAGCCTCTGTTTGCACTGCTAATACACCAATATACCAATTTAATGAGCATAATATGACTCTGTTTGTACAGCAAACAATCTCCTCTTACCTAAACTCCATATATATACTATGATTGATTGTAAAGAAGAGGACTTGAGCTAAGCAACTACCAACAAGTGTAGGACTGCTATTAAAGCAACCCTGGCTTCTACATCTGCAGGCACACAGGTTGACATCCTCCCTGCTAGTCTATTGATGCAGCAATTCATGCAAATCTGTTTTTGTAATTGTTCTCATTTCATATTCATTTTTTCATTTTTTATGAGCGGTGAATCTCTAATTAATGGAAAGTAATAAATTAAAATTTGAATTAAATTCCTGAAAAACATTTTAATTATATTCTTATTGATCGAGATACATCTCTGCTAGGCTTAATCTGTTGGCTCTAGAGACAGGTCTAAAAATCACAACTTCCTTTTTAAGCAAAAGAATAAACTGTTGCTCCAGTTTTTAAGTTTTGTTTGATGTATTCTTTCTTTGCAGAACAAGCACATTAAAATAATATATACTTTTTTTAAATCTCTTTTTCAAAATACAAGTAATTTATCAAATATTGCATATTATATTAAAGAATGACTAGAGCAATGGAGGAAGAATCACATGTGACATTAAAAACAAGCTTTGGATTTTTTTTTTTCTAATTTTGTTTGATTGTCATTTTGTGTTGGTAAAATCAGGTAGTGGGAACACTGTGTCAATATACAATTTCACAGCAAATCCAAAAGTATTAGAAGCACAAAAATGATGCTACAACACAATACACATGCAAAGGAAAATGATGAAAATTGTGAAAATAACTGCAAGTTAAGAAAAGCTGAAAACCAGTGTAGGGACAAAGGAATAATGAAGTAGTCCAGACCTCTAGGGGAAGTCAATCATTAACTCATATGGGGTCAGAACACAAACATTACCATTGCTTGATTCCTAATACCTCAAATTGTAGCTCCAACCTCCTACCTCCTATCCCTTCAGCGTTCACGGTGTCAAGATAAAAGCACTATTCACAGCAGGGAAGAGGCTGCTAACTGCTGTGCTGAATCCAGAAAGCTTTCAGCCTTATGGAGGTCATTACAACACAGAGTACATGGATGATGATGATGATTGCATTGGCCGTTATCTCTCTTCAGAGAGTTGTAGTGAATGGCTAAAGCATTTTTTGTTAAACTTTGTGAGGTTTGCTGTGGCTATACATCCTGTCAAACAAATGATTGTGGGAAAGCTCCTTGTGGCAGCTAGGGATGTCAAGAAGTTCCTATACGAAGTCCACTTGCACCAGGAAGCACACTGCTTCATGGTCCTAGCTTCTTCCCAAATGTCAGCACTATTTGGACAGCACTTAGGGTTAACATGGATGCACTTCTGTCATGGCTTAAGTGTTCTTACTGATTTGAGTTTTTTCTAATGAGCTTATCACTCACTCATTCTTCTGATTCCTCCAACAGATCAGCATACATCACACACCATTACTCACAGTTGTCATAGCTGAATTAAAAAATATACATTGTCAATCTATTACAAATTGTTAAATTTACAAATTAATATTTGGCATAATGTGCTCTGCTAATCATCAGGAAATTGTTGATCGTCGATCTATTATTAATGTTTTATATAAAATGCAATTAAACATCTGAGAGTACTTAATCTGGCTATGTCACTCCACCTCATCATCTTTGTCGTAATTTTTGTATTTATTACAATATTGACTTTAGACTTTAGACACCAGACCCTAGGTGTTGCATGAGTTGATGAACAACTCCCCTTTCTTGTGTAAGTTAAATTTTTGTGTTTACTAGTATCATTTTGTTTTTCTTTTTTTTGCACGTCTCACTTTTTTTTTTGTAGGACTTCTTGAATTTGCTGTGAAATAATTTATTTACATGGTGTTTGCACCCTTTGCTTGTCTCACAGCAGGCTAAAAGCAAACAATTTATGCTTTACTCATTTGGTTTGTCATTAATTAATGCCCTGAAAGCAGTTTTCATTAACTGGAATAGTTAAAAAAAAAACAACTTTAACTTGTTCTGCTTTTTTTACATTAAACAACATAATTTAACATATTTTGATTAAATAGAATATTATGTCATTTGATATAAATTTGCTTTTAAAATGACTTAACTGTTTATTAAAGCAGCAGGCAGAGAATATTGGACTGCTAACGCTGTGTGGCAATGTAGTTAATAGATTATAATTAATTCATCAAGATTCCTTATCACAACAAACTGATCTATGTTTAAAGGTGTGAAATATATTATAAATTATAATACTTGCTATGAATAGCATTAGCAGGTGGCTCAGATTGAAAATTCCTTCTAGAATGCATAACCCACCAAGTGATTTCCTGTGAGATACTGACGCCTTGTGGTAGATTTGATCATTTTGTAGAATGACAGAGGAACGGAAACTTGCTGCATCCTTGCACCTAGACAGACAGGAAGTGTTTTTTTTTGTAAATAACTTTAGCAGCAGTCAAACAAACCTCACACAACAACATAATTATAGCTTACTTTACTGTACATCAACACTAAAAATAATATGTTTATTCTTAAATAAACTAAGACATAAGCAGAGTTTTCTTTGAAGTTGAAGTTGTGGGTTCTATATTCTGGTCATCAAAAAAATATGAAGAGCAGTTTGTGGTTATAGAAAGAGCTTAAAAGCAGGCAGTCATTTCCGCTTACATGCCTAAATAAGTTGCAGGGACGTAACCAGAGTATATCTGCAAACTGTACTCAGATTGCTTTTAGAAAAGGTTTTGCTTTCCATCCTTTATATCACAGTCAATGCAAATTGTTTCCTTTAGGAGGAATTGATAATGCAGCTCATATTTCAATTCTTATTTTAGAAAAAAACTTTTTTTTTATTGTTCCACCTTTGTCTCCCCTCAACCTGTTTCTCTCATATTGAGAAAGGATGAATTCAGCATCAAAATCACCAAAACAACTGTTCTTTCAATTCCTCAAATTCTCTGTCGGGTTTTAGGAACAAATCAGCATGTTTAACACTCAAACTTTTCAGTGTGGTTCACCGACAGGAAACGTTGCTAAAGCAACAGAATTGGTCTAAAAAAAAAAAAAAGAACAGCAGATGTCAGAGTAAGAGGAAATTTGCTATCCTGAGGTGAGATCAGAATTTTTTTGTGTACACCTTCTCGACTGCAAGCTTATTTCCTTTTACTGCGCCTCATTGCCTGGCAGTTAAATTACTCAACTCAGTAACACAACCTCCACATGTGAAGCTCAATGGAAAATGTTGCTTCCACGGGTCTTCGCGCTTATATGTAAGTGTTTCAATCTTTGAAACAACATCCTTTATATCTTCAAAGGTTTATAAAGTTTATGCATATTTTATTTATTACTAAAATTTTTTCTCATGTGATTTAAAAGGTTTGACTGCTGTCTGTGCAGCTCAGGATGAAAATGGTAGGAAGAAAAATCTTAAATGAGCCTACACATTGACTAACCATATTGTATTGTTCTGATAGTTGGCTGCCATTTCCGTCTAACATTATCTTTCTTAAAACAACTTCCCACCATTGTTCTGTTAATCTAAACTTCCAAACATGCTTGCACTTTCTTCTGATATCCTGAACTACTTTATTGGGATAATTTTAACTAACAATCTGACCAACGCCATTCTCAGGAAGTAAACATGAGAAGCATGAAGTAGGCTATTAGTTGTCATGTGTTTTGCAGTCATAATTTTTAACAGAAGGTACATTAGTTTCCATGTACTAAATTGTGTTGGTTGTGTCAGAATTTGTCTTTTATATGGGAGATGGTGGTTCTGGTGCCAGTACTGGCATGAAGTCTCAGGCAGCGTTAGCTTGGTGGTTAAAAAACATGGTGAGTTTGTTCAGGAGAGGCTGCAAGAACCTCAGTTTGAAGCACATACTGCCACTCTGGGTCCCTGAGTGTTAGTCACCGGACGCTTTGTGCAAAAAGCTGCTCACTGCTCCTCTAAGGCGTGGGCTAAGTACAAAGAACACATTTTGTGGGAAAGTACAATTGCATGACAACTAAAATTGATCATTGATAGAAATCCCATTTTATAATAATGTATGAATTACACCATTTTAAGTTAATTTGTTAATCCTTATGCAATCCAACTTAATTTCTCACTTATTTAGTGGATTCAAATTTTGAAATGCAACATATATCATCTATAAAATCTTAAAAAAAAAAATGAAATGAGAACCTAGTACTAAATTCAACTTTAATCTCTCCTCTCTTTTCTTCTCTTCATCAGATCAAACCACCACTATTCCAACACCTGCCTATGGTAATATTTTCACACTGGCTCCTTTTATTAAAGAGGAGATTTTTCAAGTTTTAAATTGCTAAGTTTTTCAAAATAAAATATCATCTTAAGAATGTGTATTAAAAAAGTATGTAAAAAAAAAAAAAAAAAGCCCAATTATGGTGCTAAATTGGCGGAAAAGTTGCGATACATAGGGAATAACACAGGAAATGATCTCTCTTAACTGGGTATTGAAAATGTGTCATCAGTGCTATTTTTAAAGTCTATATTAGTTTTATCAGTTTATATATTTTACATATCTTTTTTTCTGGCTTCTATACCATAGTCACTGTAGTTTTAATTTGAATATATATTAAGTAAATTTTAACACATGATCAGACTCAGAATGTGGCGAAAAATACAGATTAATTCTGGCTTATTTAAG